CTAAGAAGTTCAGACAACCGAACATACAGCTGCTGCAAGAAAAAAAGAAAAAGAGTCAAGAACACTGAAATTAACCTTAGTATCATTATATGATGATAAGATTATGAATTTAATCAACAGCATGCACTTGCCTTCGCAGCATGCAATGATTGGCCTCCTACGTAACTCTTCCTAAAGTTTTCAAAGAAACTAAGGACTGCAAGTTCAAGCCTCTGCCTGCTGAGTTCACCATATCTCTAACACATACAAGCAAAACAAGAAAAGCATTAAAGCAAAAATAGAAGAGGACAAAAAGGCATCATACAATCAATCTGCAGATCAATTCTACCACATAAAGACAAAATACTCGCACGTATATTGAAGCGAGGAAATTCATATTTCTAAATGTCAGCTATTGCGTATAAAATTCCAGGCCAAAAGTAGATATAAAACTGGCAATTGACAAGAAGCAACTTCAAATGGTGAAGGCCGAAGGGCCAGAAGGATAGCCTACGAAGAAATGACACACCATAATATTGTACCAGCATTCTTAGATTTTTGTCAAGGTTTGGTACTGCAATAAAGAAAATTCCTCTATTTTTACAAAGAGACATCAAAACACCCCATAAAGAGTTAAGGCGCGGTACCTGGACATATGATCCAGTGTCCATGAAATTTATCAACTGCAAAACACGTGCTGAAAGGTCTGCATCAATCACTTCATTTGAAGTACAACTGCAAGAGAGATTGCTTACTAAATTAGAGGCTTTTGCATGCAATATATAATTAAAAAATAATAATAATAAAAAAAAAAAAGAAAAAGAAGAGGTAAGAATTAAAAAATCTATACCCGGTATATTGCTTTACACTCAGTATGGCACCCACTATATGCACCATCCATGCAAGCTTGGTCTCCGTTAATACAACAGTGCTACTAGTCACATACTCCTGTAGTTTCGTGCCATCCTGAGTCATGCAACCAAATCATACATTAAGATTTATGCGTAAGTTTAATAATTAAACGTTGACAACAAGAAGGATATAATATACCATATATTCTTGTAAGAGAGGGTCCATAGCATTTATCAAATAGGTAATGCAGCTCTCACACTACAATAAATAAGAAAAAAAGACAAAAATTGAGAATCAGAATCAGCTCAGCAACTACTCCACACACCCCCCCCCCCAACAAACCAAAAAATAATTAAATAAATAAATAAATAAAAGAAAGAAAAAGAAAAAAAAAAAAAAAGAGGAATAGAAGAGTAGGAAGCACACAGCAGTAATCTCTGCATAATTGTCAAAGGTCAAGTTTCCATAACAAGACAATTTTTCTAGCAATACAATGCAAAACAATCTTCAGGACCAACAGGTCAAACCTGAAATCTGAAAAGATATGGAAAGAATTTGAGCTGATCCTGCATTAGCTCAACCTTATCAAGAGGATCTTCTAAAAGATCGTCTGAGAACCCAGCCTGTCCTAACAATCAGTCAGATAACTAAGTTAAGAAAGAGGCAAAGACAAATATATGTAGCTAAAAGAAAAGCTGGGCAAGCAATTATATCTTAACCTGTACTGAATCAAAACGTGAAGATACAAATCCTTCCAAAATCTTGGGCACAAACTCATCTAAGCGGTAGTTTGTAGACTTGTCCTTCAAATATGGTAAAGATGTCACCATTTTGGACCACAGCTCTAGAAGATAATAAATACTGCTGCTTGTCCACTGAAATGGAGAAACTCAACATTTTCATACAAATTGAAACATTTACTGCTATACAAAATTTTTAAAATTTTAGCTTCATCAGGTAAACTTCCAGAGGTTGCTAAGACTGCAATAACCTTCCAAGACTGCAGAGACTTCAATGTGAAATCTGATATTAGGCCTATCCATGAGTTGTAGAACTCCACGCTCACGACCTCTGATAACTGTCACAATTTTAGGCAGCATCACTTTTAGCATTTAACCTATCCGTGTAGTACTAAGCCATGAATTGAGCATACCATTTGACATTTAAATGTTAAACCTCTCTGTGTACCTGAAAATTCACTTTAAAACGCCCAAGGAAACGGCAAAGCTCATGGTAATTATCATGATGATTAAGACCTGTTCCCAAAGTAGAGTTAGAAATAGATAACTACTGCTGTAAATTGATATCCTGCTCTTCTTCACAAAAAAAAAAAAAAAAAAAAAAAAAAAAAAAAAAAAAAAAATTGATACCCTGCTTTATTAAAAAGATATCCGTAATAGGATTATTTCTAAGTATAAACAATTCTAAAGCATATGAAACAAATTTTTGCTTAACAAGAAATAATTTTGTTTAATAAATTCTGTAATGACTTTTTAAAAGCCTAGATTCCTGAAATTTCTAGATTCCTAATATAGGTACTGTAAGTTAATTTCATCATATTTCGACTTCAAGACTAAATATAGCAGTCCCGAGAAATTGAGGTATCATGAACTAATGGATACAGGATTTCATATCAGTAACATAATTAACATTGTATCACATGACCTTGTATCTCCCAATGTCCCAAAATGGGAAGATTACAGTGCCAACTTGCCTTTATACATTATTTCTACAGCTATATATCACTTACTACGATTTAATAATAACCCTATTTCAAAGAAAGGCAACAATAGACTTCACCATTGAGTTATTCGAATGGTAGATAAAATATTTTTTCATAATATAAGGATAATCTTGTCAGCTTATTGTAACTAAAGACTTACACAAAATAGGTGTTTAGAAAATCTTTCTGACTGGTGGATCAAATTAGTGCTCAGCTTAATAATTTACAAAAACAACAAAGTTAAATGTGCAAATTGAAATTACGATAAATGAAGGTTAAAACAAGATACGTTCAAATCAAAATAAGCCTACATCTACAGGCAAGGAGATCACGAGTCTATTCATTACACTTTCCTAGAGAGATTACGAAGAAGAACATGAATTAATTCTAACAGACTTATTTTTCCTATTTCACTTTACATAAACACCTTTTAAACATTGATATTTACTGGAACTAAACCCATTTACAAGCATGCAAGTTAATGCTCATTATTATATTTAACCTCTTTATCAAGCATACAAGTTAATGCTCAAGCGAAAGACTTGGAGCAATTGATCAACAAACTAACCTTTCCCTGTTTCAATAATATCCTTTGAGCCCATCATCAATGAAGTCAAAAACAGCTTACGTGTGGTACCGCTCGTAAACAAGGATCTTTTAACTAAAGTCAATCGCCCCAAACACTCCAAAGCCTTAACAGAAAACATTGAGCAATCAGTGTTGAGGACAAAAAAATTTTACACACATTGAAGCGCAAAATAAATTCTTACAATTTTACACACACATTGAAGCGCAAAATAAATTCTTACTTTCAAAAAGCTCATCAAACATACTGCAATCAAACATTGACAACCACTACATCTATGTATTGTAAGGACAAAAATAGTAAAAATTATACATCAGATAGTGATAACATCTTTCAAGAATTATGTTCCATTTCAAGGGTGAAAGTTAAAGGCGTTGTACATATAAGTTCGGAGGCAATTAATTTATACTTCTGGTAAGAATAGGTTAAAGAATGAATCAACGACCCATTATAGTAAGATAAGTTTCTTTGTTTTTTTACTACTAACCAACTTTCTATCTTCTCTGCCCATTCCCCAACCAGCCAGGTGAATTTCAACAAGGGGCGACAACATTGATATAGGGTAACCTCCAGTACGAACTGTCCACAAACATCAATTCAATCTGAACTTTTGTATCATTTCAATGTCATGTCCACCAAAAATAGCATAAATCTAACAAGTTTCCCCCTCTTTGCACCTTCAACTATCCTTTTGAGCCAATCCTTAAACTGCCTTCAAGACTCTGACTGTGACATGACACCAAAGACTAAATCAACAAGCAAAAAATTTCAACCCTCGTCAGGAAAATTCACATTTACACCCTTTAACTTCCTCTCCACTAATTTTTCATATATGAGAAAATTTTGTGTGCTTTATGATGGAGAAGGTGACAAAGGTAAAAAGAACATTGTTATACTGATATGCAAATAAGAATAAGGACAGGGCAATTTGTGGTTCATAAGATATGCTAAATCCTAATGGGAAACAAAGTTCAAATCAAAGTGCACGATAATGCCTATACCATCAACACTATTTCAGCAAATCCCATGCAAACTACTTTCTTTGGGCTACTCTTTAAAGTATAGGAGTGGAACTGAAATGAGGTTTACAATAACAAACCTCTTAGCTTCTACAAGTGAGAAATAGTACGGGAATGGAAGGAACACATCTCTCTTGGAACATGGCTTGGGGTGGGTCAATTGAGATAGCTATTTTGAGGTCCCTTAGGGTGAAAGGTAAGAATCAAATCGTAAAATGCATTTCCAATCATGATTTGTCCCTTAAAAATCCCTTGACCTACCCCCAACTATAAGCCTTTGATCAACTGCATTCCTCTTCTTGATGCCTAGCATTTATTTTGCCCTTTGCCGATGGAAAATAAAATTCCTATAGCTTGTGACTACCCTAACACGAATCTAGTTTGGCAGCTGCTAAAACCCCCTTCCCAGCCTTATACCTAAGAACATCAGAGAGTGGATCATAACTAATCTAAAGTTCTAAACTACTATTCAAAGATTGGCAGCTTTCCATTAAATACTTTCTTTCCCTTTGTCGTCCTAGATATTTGAAAGCTGAGGAATAAGCAACCACGATCTTCTGCATATTGCCATCCAAACAGCCTATATATTTATAGTTCCCCTATCCCCACACACACTTGATGGGCCATCCCATATTGAGGACTAGTACCACAGGCATTGCATGTACATGTCTTTTGTCAACTGGTCATTGGTTGAAGGGCTTCCCAAAAAAGAATTAAACCCCTTACCGAACCTTTGCAGATCTTATGGGGATCAAGAAAGGACTTTAAATTGCGAGTGATAAAGGCTGTGAAAACGTTTATCATCATATCTGCTAGCAAAGTCACCATAGACATGCTCAACCAGAATAATCTTGAACATAACTTTTACTTACATTTGAATGAATGCAAGGATAGTAATCATATTTCCAAAGAGCAAAATCCTTTCACTACAGCGAGATAGAAGAACCACCTAGCTCTAGTTATTTGGATCGTATATTAATTAATGCCATCTTATCTACTTTTTTCACCAAAAGAAAAGAGTGATGGTAGTTAAAGACACCATGAAGGTCAAAAGCAGAGAGATGAAAGAGGCTAGTCTACAATGATAAGATATAATAATTCCCATTAAATAAATTAACCAGGCATTTTTTAGACAGGAAATAAATAATAAGTATGTATACAAGTATTAAATATTTCACTACCTTTATACTACGTATTTACTTTTAAGCCCCTAAATAGTATCAATAAGTAGTTATACTTGCATCTTGTCAAAAAAAAAAAGTAGTAATACTTGCATTCTTATTGTTTTGCTAGATATTAGAATGTTGGGTTCTATATGTTTTATTTAGTTAGTATTTCACTTCTGAAATTGTTATGATACTCCTAGGTTTACTATTAGACTTTTAATGATTTTACAGCACATCATATGAGATTACAACGAAAGATATTTAAGAGCCCCAAAGAGCAACATTTGACGGAGGGAGAACAGAATAACAACTGACAAAGAACCACAATTGACTAACCAACTGAGCAGTTCTACCTCATGTTCTCATTTTACAGTAATAATTTTTATGTCTGAGTTGGTGATTATTTTGATTACTTGATTTGAATACTTAGCTCTTGTAGTTTAAGGTGTGATGTTATGCAATGGTGTTTTAGAGTTTGATAAAATCGCCATCACAGTCCCTTTGTAGAGGATAAAGGGTAATAGGAATCCACAAACATTTCACTTAGCATTTCACTTAATTATCTACTGTCAGATCCTGTATTCAGGCTTTTTGACCAAATCATTTCCACATAGTCAATCTACACATTGTCTACCAATTATACATATTCCAACTCAGGCCAGCCCATTTTTTATCCCTTCAGAACAAACTCAGAGAAGAAAATGACATAAGTTAGAGAACTCACTAATTTTGAAAGAGGAGGACTGGTGACTGCATAATAGTCAAAATATATTTGTACTGTTGAGGGTTCCTCAAGGACTGATCTCCAGGAAACCGGAGCCTGTCACCCCATTAAAAAATAGGTACTGAGGAGAAAAGACTTGTAATAGAAAATTTCAGTCAGATTAAAATATAAAAACCATTTTCCACAATATACCTCAATTATAAAACTTTCATCTGAGCTTTCATCAATTGATGATCCCATAAAATCAAAAGATAGACATTGTAGAGAAAGTGAAAGAGCCAGCTCCTGCAATTTCTGTTGAGCTACATACCCAAAAACTCTTAAGACGGAAGAAAAATAGCTACTCTATAAAAGAAAATGGCTACAGAATGCCTAAATAATTACCATCACTTTTAAGTCCATGCAATGATGTAAGGGAGATTCCGTAAATTTGCCGAAGCGCCTTATCTTTGAACTTGCTTACCACCCTCCGATGTAGCAGCAAAGGTAACCCTGGAGTTGGCTGTAGTTAAAATGAGTTTGACACACCAATTAGTAGATAGAAATTGATGCAGCTTCAGTAGAAATCAATAATAATCAATCCAAATGATAACATCAAAAAAAACAAAACCTATGAAGGAAAACATTCAAGATTTAACTCTCCCTAAATTTATTCCAGCAATAAATAACAAGCCAATTTGATATCGTATCTGATAAAACTTACCCGATTCATCTCACTCACAAGCTGATTCAATACCTTCAAACCCATAGCATAATGAGCGGCTTCTTGCTGCAAAATTAAGCACAGGCTCAAATAAAAATATCAAGACCAAAAACAGCAATTGCAGCAGAAAAGGGCACCAATGATTGACAGTTCAAAATAATCAGATACCTTAAAAGAAACATATACTTACATTGATTCACATAAACATTAATTTCCAACGTTTACAATTTCCTAGAAAATATGCAAAGGGCTATATTCACTAACCTGATTCAAAAAGTTCAGAGAATCACTAATGAGCTCCTGGAATTTATCATCAACAAACCAACCAAGTTTTGAAACTCGACAAACAAGTTGAATCAACGAAGTCGCTACAAAATGCTCCAAGTTGGCACTTCTAGAAGCCAGATAGTTTACAACATGGTTGCCTTCAGATTAAAGTCACACAGGACAAATTAGAAAAAACAAGAGGGAAAAGTTCCAAGTATACACATTGTCAAAATACAATAGTCTGGATCATCACAGAGGATTCAGATACCTAATTTTACTTTTCACTATTTACAATTTTACTAAAGGATTCAAATACCAAATTTTACTTTTTAGTTTTCACTATTTACAATAGTATAAATCATCATAAAGGATTCAGATACTTTATACATAGATATGAAGCAGGAGCAAAGGCAATTAAACTTGTGGACACGAAGTACATCAAAAATCACTTAAAAGGTACAGAATTTGAGGGGGGGATTACGAATTTGAAGCTGTAGCTGCAAAGGAAGCATATTTTGAGTGACGTGCTTCAGCAAGCTTGAGCTAGCAAATAAAACTGCATATGGATTTCTTGCATTCTCAAGTATGTATTCCAACTGTGGGATGCAACTGGTATCCTGGGAGAAGCATTTCAAGGTGTTCTCAGCATACGCTCGCTCAGCAGAGTCTAGTGAGTTGTAAAGCATCTCGCACAAGGCTTCCAATTGTTCCAAGTTATCCATGTAGATGATGTAGCAAAATTCCCCCAAATGAAAATATGCAAGCAAAGAGCAAGTGTATTTTCAAATGCTTTCTCTTCTTTGCTGAATATGGCCAAATGGCATCTGCAAAGTTTTCACGAAATCCAAAAGAAGAGTCTAGATGTACATTATAAAATGAAGTCTTAATTATGATAATGCTACGATGCACATCAATAATATCAAAAGATGAGCTTGAATGTTAAAAGTAAAATCATAAAGCTTGATCATTTACAAAAAATGCATACATAAGGAATTGCTTCTGCTTGTTTTACAGATATAGATACATGGAAATGGCAGAGTATTAGTCAATGACAAATTTTGAAGTTACAGGATGTGTTGAAAATTAATTACAACTCAAAGTTAAAATGCCATCCTACTGCTCTGAAAACGAAATCACAACCAATTTATGGTCGATAGAAGGGCAGCAGGCCAGCAGCAGACCTGAAAGCAAATATTTAATAAAATTCAATTAAACATCATTCCAATTTTCATGTTCAAGGACTTTAAAGATGTACAAGAAGAAAAAAGAAAAAGAATAATAAAATTATTCCAAAAAAGAGAACAACCAACAATAGCCAGTAGCAACATAACTGTATTATACAAATAAATAAATAAATATTAAACCCGACATCAATACAAATATAGTATGAGATACAACAACATAACTGTGGCAATTAAAATTGAAAACTAAAAAAGCGCTTGCAACGGATCCCTCAATGTATGCCAAAAGAATCAAGTATTTGGCCACTAGAAGGAAATAGGGTACTGAGAAATCCCTCTGAACTAATTACACAGAAAGAAAAAACAAGGAAAAAAAAAAAACTAAGCATAGTTGTATCATAGATAGAATAAATTTCAATTTCACTGCATATCATCCACTAAATATCAGCAGTAGAATTGGGGATCAAATCAAATCTTTATCATGGGCTGTGTCGACTAAAAGCCACATTATTCAAAGAATACGAGTCCCTTACTCCTGTGTAGAAATGTAGATACTTTAAACATGACTCGTTTTAAATATATAAAAACATGATCACCCACATGAATTCTAACAGCTTAAATATGCCCAACAATATGAGCAATATGAGGGCAATCCAAATTACACACACCGACCTCAAGCAGGCCACTAATCAATCAATCAAAGCCTTAATCCCATAAGTTCCACTAATCAATCAAGCAGGCCACTAATATTAAATAAAAATTGGTGAGTTCCAAAAAAATTCAAGGAACTACCGAATGTAATTAATCAATTACATTTTACAGGCTCGTCAATTTAAATCTTTTATTTCATTGACAGTAACCAATAGCCGAATAATCTATCACTGCCAAGGGATAGAAATATATCACAAGGTTGACGACTTAATCGATTTCAAGAAGTGAAATTAGATAGATGAGCAAAAATACTAGTCTATCACTCATCAGTCGATTGAAGGAAGATCAACTAAGGCTCAAAATCAAACTGCCATATCTCTAAAATCCTGACAAATTAAGCCAACATTTCAATTTTAACAAATTAATCAAAATTATCTTTGGTCAATCTTTGCCATTAAAATCTCGATTACAGTCCTCAAAATAGTTCCATCTAATGACATCAAAAAGAACAACGAATTTAATTAATATTAGCATTGATTTCAATGAAACCGAATTCATGTCAAAATCCATATACTCAAACCATTCAAAGCTTTATAAACAATCCAGTATCATGTGAAAATAAAAAAAAAAATAAATAAAAAAAAAAAACAAACAAACAAACGTAGACAAATTCAACAACAACAACAAATTACTAGCAAAATTCACATAAAAAAATTCAAGATTCAAAGAAATTGAAACAAATTGAGCAACCACAATCGTGTTGGATTCCAGAAACCCCAGTAACAAAGAAAAGGGTTTAATCAAATGAGAAATTTTCAATCAATCATCATTCATTTCATACTTCATTGTTTTCACTTCAAGTTAATTCACGTTGTAATTAAAAAAAAAAAAATAAAAAAATACATGCATAAATCCATTTTCCAGATTGTTTAATCATCGGACTTTTATCATTTTTGATAAAGAATTAAAGGAAGAAATCATCTTACAAATGAAGGGAACCAATCAAATTGAATGAGCAACGCTTGAGATTATTCAGAATTACAGAGTGAAGGAGAAAGAAAGGAAGAAGAAAATGAAGAAACCTAGTAGAGTAGAGTAATTGTTGGAGTTTATATAGAGAAGATTGGGTGACAAAATCGACAGCGACACAATCGGCGATGTTGTAAATCTCATAGAGAAGTTGAAAGAACATGTGACCCCACCAATAACGCTAAAGATTGCACTGGATCGTGTCGGATTCGTACTTTTTTTTTTGGAAAAGTTAGCAGGAATTTCATTTCAAATTAACCTACGTCAAGTCTAATAGACCTTGCGGGAAAGAGTTAAGACATAAGTTCCGCACAATTACCAGTGGAGGACCCAGGAGTTTCCGACTGGTGAATCACAATCGATAATCAAATATGTAAAAAAAAATTTGACAACATGACAAGCTTAGCTCTCTAATAATTGACAAGATTAAAATCTTTACAAGCATTAGGGTGTATTGACAATTTGACAGACATAATTGACTATATCAGTAGGGTGGGTCGACTATATCATAAGCAATCGTCCGAATCGCCAATCAAATCAGCACATATGCAAAACCCCATATAAATCTACCAAAGCCAATGGTGTATTGACAATTTGACAGACATAATTGACATCAATAAACACCCTAAATAAACACTGACTACAATTCACATGGTCAAAAAGGTTCAAATTTCACCAAAATCCCAACAACATTAACAAAAGTTTCAAAGTTTACCAAACAAACAACAACAAAATCAACAAAAGAAATTTTTTTTTTTTTTTTTTTTTTTTAAAAAAAAAAAACTTAGAAATTTTGTTTGGGCCTGGTGAGTCATTTGACTCACCATGCACAAGACCAGGTCCGCCAATGACAATTACACGTGTCCCATCTCGCCACAAGATGGGCAAGCGTATAGCGTATTTCCTTCTCTACACGTGAGAAATCTTAAAAACATGAAATTTTTTTGCAAGATTACAAACATCATCAAATCAAGGCTGATCTTGGTTACTGTCGAATTTGTACTTACTTATTAGAAACACAAAATACTATGTATGTCCTATAAAATTGGATATTATGTCATATGTGGTACAACTTATACGTATATCGGAGAATTCTAAAAGCACATAAAATTCAATAAGAAATAAACGCTAACTAGGAAAACACTACGAGTATTAAGGTTCGATTAAGTTGGTATAATCATAATTATATGAAAAATTTAATTCAAGTAATTATGAACCATTCCAAATTAGTGTTCCTAATGTTCCTAACAATCCCTTACACGTGTCTCTTTTGTTTATTGAGGGTGAATTTTTCCTAATAAGTTTCTTTAAAATTAATTAAGATACAAAAATATTTAGATAGATTTGTAGTATTACTCCGTATTAAATATATTTTTATTGAAAAAAAAATTATTTGGATAATTTTGTAGTAGTATGTATAATACATTAGCATAAAAATATACAGTAGTCTTATAATGCTAATGTACGGAGTATTTTACATTTTTATCACCATATTTTGTGACAAAGTAACAATTAAAGTTCATTTTCTAAAGGTAGATATGATTAGGTACAAATTTACAAAATAATTGATTCTTTGTTTAATACTTCCTCTGTTCTTTTTTACTTGACCTATTTCTTTTATCACGCTTGTCAATGTAAAACTTTAGCGATCAATAACTTTAATTCTTCATAAGTAAAAATTATAAAAGTTGTATATTACGATAGTACTTATTGAGAAGAATTAAAAAAGATATAATATGAATATATTTTTCCTTACATATCACTCACAAAAGACGGTCAAAGAAGAGGTGATGAATAGTGTAAAAGTCAAAGCGGGTCAACTAAAAAAGAACGGAGGAAGTAGTTAACATGAAAGAATTGGACTTCTTCTTTTCATTTTGCTGATTAATGGTTGAAGTAATGAGAGTGGATCACATTTTCTTAAAAAGAAAAATACGCTAAATTTGACCGCCTTTTATACCAAGGGAATGGAATCAAAAATCCAAAATGTATCATTCCTATCCTTGCCTCCTCGGGTAGGTTTTCCATCATTAGTGGAACGATTCAAAGCAAAAATATTGAACATATACGCATACGGGTGAGGAGTGACTATGCCTACATTATACGCATTGTAAGGCGACAAAAGATAAAATGAACATATTTACTTTAAACGATAGATAGTTAATACACCATTTCACTGTTTCAGAATTCCTGAAACAGCACAATTTCCGGGCAGAAGAAGCCAATATTAATAGTGATGGTCATCACACACAACTTCAGCAGATGCTGAAATTTAACTTGACAAAAGATTGCGGCCACTAAGAAAAATAATACAGAAGGTTGGAATTTGCTGACTGTGAAGGATGCATACTTTACACACAATTCATGGAGACTGTCCAATCTGCGATCAATCTGCAATCATTGCAAAAATAGGTCAAATAGGTGCTTGAGCAATAATTTCATTCGCAGATCCCAAGATTTACGCTTCCAATGAAGTTTCATGATCAATATGCTACCCAGGACCTACAATAGAAAAATACGAGATTAAAAATGAAACTACGTTACTGTAAAAGAGCAATCTCTACCAGAGAAAACCAAAAACAAGGCGGGCACAGCAGAAGCCCAAAACAAAGAAAGAGAAACTTCACTATTCGGTGTACTTCATATTAGAGTCTCTAAAATGAGTAAGATTAATTGAGCTTACCGAACATGATTCTATAGATATTTGATCAGTGCCAATACAACAAGGATGAGAGCCACGATCAAGACAACCAATAGACACAAGCAGGCGCAACCTCCCTTGGTGCGTTTATTAAATATGGCCAATCTCCTTTGAATGCGCTGCTCCAAATGTCACGAAATACAAATTAAAACCCAAAAGATAAAAATCACCATCCACTAATCAATATGCAAAAGAATGAATCTTGAAGTGGAGAGATTTAGAAAGCCCCAAAGACAAAGAAGGTCTCACATTTTCTTGCTGAGCACCAACAGGTCAAAAAAAAAAATTCATTAAGAAGAAAACCAATTATAAAGAATGTCCAAGGGTCACAAGTAGAGGATCTAGAATACTGGGGGGCACATAAAAAGGTTAAGAATTTGAAACTGATGTTCATCCAACAAAACTTTTACTTGTGCATGCAGTTGGTAACTAGTCACTGGACATCATAATATATAACATGGTTGCCATCAGTTAACATCTTGCTCTGTTCTCAGATAATCAACAAATAGCAGCCCAGTAATATCACAAGCTACCTTAGGACATAATTTTATAAGCAATGATTGAATTGATTTGGCACCCAATACATCACTCCAATAAAGGAGGAATAAAAATTGTTTAGCAGTACAAAAAATCAGCTTCAATTAAGATGTTAGACCCGTAACATAAAAGATTTTCAGTCTAAATGGCTAGTTAATATCAAAAAGATATACCTGCAAAAGGAACAATACAAGTATGATATTTGTGGTTGCCATAACGATCATATCAGTACACTCACTCACACATGAGTTGCCACTCTTAAGGTAGGACTTGGGAGATTTTATCAATATTTGTAACATGTTACATAGGATTAAAAAAAAGCTATGAAAAAGTTTGTTTAAAACTACAAGGGACAAAGGCCCAGACATCTAGATTTGCAGGCAGGTTAATACATTTAAGGATATAATTTGACAGTAGCTCCAAAACAAAATAATTTGAACTTCTCTTAAGTATGTCATTTACGCGACACTGTTGTTCTCATTTTGAATATAATACATTTAATATCCAAAAGTTCTTTTAGATCTAACTTAACTTCTCTTTTTTTTTTTTTTTTTTTTGACAGGTAGATCTAACTTAACTTGGAAGCAAAAAGAGTCCACAATAACACTTAAAAAAAAGCTTTTAACAGGCAAATGTTGTGAATACAGATCATAGCAAACATTATATCATCATAAGTGAAACAAACTCACACTTATTTTTTAAAATCTACATTCCAATTACTGTTTTAAGATGTTCAGACAAATCACTTCTTAATTATAAGCAACAAAAAGGTAAGAAAATTATAAGCAGCTTACTTTACCGAAAGCAAACATAAATAAACAAGTATGCAAGTACAAAGACAAAATTACCTGCAAGCGAGAATTTGTAGACTCCACATGATCATCCAAAGTATCCTACAAATAAAAAATTTAGGTTCAGAAGTTTGAATAATAGTTATTACCCCAATGATTCGGTGAAGGTAAAGTATTGTTATTATTATATGTAGCAGATTATGCCTACAGAGAAAGTACAATGGAGAACTTATGCCACAAAAACTGAACCATACTAAAACATTACCAGGAGTCTAGTGTGAAGGGTAAGCTCTTCGTTGACTGCTAGTGCTATATGTTTTGTGCTTACTACAGTCTCCTCCAATTTTTCAAGGCCTTCATCTTGCTCTGCTTAGGGATCAAGGGGGAATGAGGTGTTATTGCATAAACAATCTAGCTAAGATAAGGAGTGTACAACAAATATATATATAAAAATGCAAACTTCTTTTTCCATACCTCGCATAATCTGACGTTGGAAGCCTACAATTCCGTGGTTGTCCATGTTAGATGCTCTCTTCATTACATCATCTGACTTCACATCCGGACCTAGTAAACGATCCCTGTAAGCAGCACTGTATGAATTGAGAGTATTTGCCATCTGACTGACTTTAGATTTCAAATTAGACAACAAGTCATTGCGCTTATTCATCTCTTTTGCTGTTCTGCATAAATGTGAGAGCATAAGCAAGATATTATCAGTGTACTTTTTTTTATAATCAACATGACAATAAAATACACAGTAGGGGGGAGGAGATCAAGGAGGGTAAAAGGTAATACAGAGTAGAAATTATCATATAGAGGTTCTGACTTTGTCATTAACAACAGAAAGATGAAAAACCACCAACATATAAATATATCATTCCTATTCTTTTTAAGTTTAAACGAGAGTTCTAGGCACAATAATACTACATGGTACATATCAGACAAGTAAAAAGATCAACAAAAAAAAAAGTACTATGCAATACACTACCAAAAAATAGGATAATAAGTAAGGACACTGACAAACAGGAATTGTAAATACATTTAAACCCATAAGTGATTAAGTGATAATGATTTAACAAAGATAGTGCTTAAATGTAATGATAAATAGATAGTGCTTAATATATTAACATCTTGATAAAATCAAGTCAACATCAGCTTCCATGATTTTTCAGCTGTCATGCCTATGATTTTGATGATCATCATTAGTTTCTTTTCGTTTCATATAACCAGGTATTCAAGTGCAACTAAATTCAACAATCCAGGAAACCTGTGAATTCTTTAGGGAACCATATGTACCAAAAAAAAGTATACCAAGAGCTTTCCAATGTGTCCCGTGCACAACACTCTGCATGAAAAATCTTATTTCATTTGTAAACACACCTAAGAAAATTTCAAGCCTATGCACAAATTTAACTGTCCACTATTATTCCACAACGTAACAAATGAAAAACATCCTTACAGTAGGACAAATATAACATAAGCCAGACTAGAACACACTATACATACTTATACAACAGCATAACAATGGATCTACATCAAGTCACAAAAGCTTCACATATTCACGTCCAAGACATGCGAAGTAACTTTACACTTCAGAATAAATAAACTTCACCAGCTGCTTTGATACGGAGAACATACAAAATCCAGGCTATAATTAAATTCTACAA